TCTGTCTACTCCAGAACCCCTGGAGATGTCTCCACGTAGGCTTTTCCTTTTATTCACATGGCTGGATGGGTCCTCAGATCTCTTAAAACCTCCCTGGGAAGGCTGAGAGCTGAGAGCTGGTCTTTCTCAGTGACATTTTGGTGAATGGCCAACATTTCCCAGGAATGACTTAGATGCTGACCCAACACTTGAGGTGTTCCCTGTCCTTACAGCTAAAAGACCAGACAGGTAACTGGACACCTCCGAGTTGCTCCCTCAACAAGTGGCTTTTTAGCTACTACATACTTGAGCAGATGATCAAGACAGATGCAGCCTCTCGTGTTGGACACAGGCCACTGCAGAACACTGTGAATGATGTCGCTGGGCTTCTCATCCAGCCCTGGGGGGTGAGTTAGCCGGAGGCTGATGTGTCTAGGGGGGAGACAGGCGAGGCCACGAGGCTGAGTAGCAAGGGCAGCAAGACTGTGTTGCATCTGGGTTCAGGGGAGGGCCTGGGGGAAACGGGCGATGCGGAGAGTGCTAGGCTGCACAGAACAGTGGAAGTAGAGAGTGGTGACAAGCATGGTAACAGGGGCCCAGGTGTGAGGCCACGGTGACCTGGCTAAGCCAAGGAAGTGGACAGATAAAGACACACTGCACTGAGGGTTCAAAACAACAGGATGTGGCAGCTGGAGTAAACGGCAGGCCTTTTGCTGAGATAAAAGGCCCAGCAGCAGATCTTTGGGATCTAAGGCTTTGGTGCCAGGGTTCTTCATGCAGAGGAGCGATGTGGGAGGCCCCCAGAGCAGTGCACCAGCCCTAGACTAAAAGGTTTGTGTGACCTTGGGAGTCATTTAGTCTCTTTGAGCCAAGTGTTCTCACCTGTCAAACGGACAGAATGCTCACCTAGTTAGTTCATAGGGTGACTGAGAGAACTCTGTGGCAGCCAGTCCTGGGGCGGAGGGCGCCTCAGGGACACGCATCTCTGCACCCCCAGCTCTTGAGCTGCGGTCTGCAGTGTTCATGTTTGTCAGGCATCTCCAGACCCTTTGCGTGGGTCAGCTCACTCTTCCCTGTGGTCACCAATGAGGAAACTGAGGCAACACGGAGGTTAAGAAACTCACCCCCCAGCTCTCACTCCTGTCCCCCTGCTGTGCTCCCAGCGGGTGTGTGGCCTGAGAAAACCCTGCAAAGTGATACACTCACAAACTCCACAAATAAACCAAGAAGGCCTGAAACATGTCTAGATAACCCGCAAGAAGCAAGAAAAGAGAAAGAGGAAACAGAAAACAAATCATAAATGGCCGACTTAAGGATGAGTCCTGCTGAAGGCACCACTCCTAGCACACAGCTGGAGGTGGAGCTTGCTGGGGACCAGAAGTGTGTCTGCAGGGGATGGGGAAGGCGAGGGGCTGTGAGCAACAAGCAGGGTCTGCTTCGGAAGGGCTCCCCGGACCCTGGCAGGAGCGTGCACGGGGTGTGGAGGGGTAAAGGGACAGAAAAGGCTTTGAGAAGCTTGGCCTGGCTAGGAGAAACACTTGGAAAGGTCTGAATGAATCCCTTGATGTTTATATATTGGGCACCTGCTGTGTGGATTAGATGAGATGTTACTGATGACTCCTGTGGACCACACTCAGGGCAGGAGGGAGGCTCAGGCAGGATTCCTGCCCTCTGGACCTGCTGGAGCACCAGGGTGAAGCAGCAGCCCAGGAGGGAGTGTCATCACCCCCCGACCCCCACCCAAAGTGGGCACCAGAGCCAGCGTGGGGGTCAGAGGGCCAGCTCAGCTGTGAGGCCTTAGGCAGACTTCCTCTCTCAGACCCACAGTGGCCTAGTCTGTAAAATGCAGCAATGGTTCCTGCCTCCTGACTGGAGTTTAGCTGAATTAGGAATAAGAACATCTGCCAAGGACTGTCTACTGCGTGTCAGGCCTTGATCTCGGCCCCTTCATGCAGAATCTTATGTGATCTTCAACACCGCCTTCTCACTGGGGGTCTTGCCCATTTGATAGATGATGAGACAGGCTGAGAGGTGACAGTGGCACCCTGTAGGTCTTGAGGGTGGCCTGCCCCAGCCTGCTCTAATGCCCAGCCAGCTGAGCCAGACCCCTCTGGGCACAGTCCCTGTCCTTTGTTCCCTGTTAACCCCAGAGCTGCCATTCCATCTCTCCTTTACCCTATGGCCTTTTACTCTTAAGCTGAGAGCTGGTCGCCAGAAGCACTAGGACTTTGAGGGGAAGGAGCAGGACGGTGTGTTTTGGCTACAAGCTGGCCAGCCTGCCCCAGGTCCCCATGGCTGCCAGGTCCTCCCATACTGAGCACTCACCTGCATTTATTTACGTCTCACTTGTCCCTTAGGGGAAAATGTTTCAACATAAGACTTTAGATTCAGACTCAGATAAATCCTTTATTAGCTGTGTGACCCAAGGCAAGTCATTTCCCTCTCTGAGCCTGTCTCTCCATCAGATGGGCACGACCCTCAGTGAGAAGGTAGTGTTGAAGATTATATAAGATTCTGCAGGGAAGGGGCCTTGAATGAGTCCTCACACAGTAGACAGTACTTGGCAGGTATTTGTATTTCTCATTCAGCTAAACTCCATCACTTCCAGCCCCAGAAGTGCTTTTCTGACCCAGAGCTGTTCCTGCCTTGCCAAGGAGCCCCCTAGTTCGTGCCAGCTTCCTCAGAGCATTCCTGAAAATTCCTGTGGGCTCAGGAAAAGGAGAACACTGGATTTAATTAACTCCCAGTGACTGGCAGCATCGTGTTTTTATCTGGGCTGCGTCGCCATGGCAGCCTCATGGTGGGGTTGTCGAGGGGGCGGGTGGAGCTATTGTTCCTGCCATTGTCTGTTCTGGAACTCCGGCCCAGGAGAAAGGGACTGGCATGGGCACCAAGTGGCACATGGCACAAAGTAGCCATGGAGTCAGACAGGAGCCATCTGGGGAGAACTGTGGGGTGGCCAGTATGGCCTGGCTTCCCCCCAGCTTGCTCTCAGACCAGTGGAAGCTTAATGTGGAGTCCCCAGCATGGGGCTCAGGCCCATTGTGGCTCCCAAAGCTGAATGCATGTGTGCCTTGGTTGGGCATGCTGAGCATGGGGGCCCATGGCGCTCCTGGAAGGGGCCCCCAGGGTAGCGCAAGCAGCAGCACTCTCCCACGCCAGGCTAGGGTTCTGTGGCCAGGCTTGTGGTCATATTATGGCACTGCTGCCTGCCATCCATACAACTAATTGTGTAAAACCCATAAAACAAGAATAATTCCAGTTACCCCAAAGGGTTGTATGTGAAAGCCTCTGGGTATAAGGAATTCAAGAAGGGCTCATTTTTGTTCTGAGGGGGTGGTGAACAGTTGCCTGCCACGGCCCCTCCGCAGTCAGGGCTCCCTCCTACATACTTCTTAGGAGGCAAGGTTCCCCTCTCAACCCTGGCTGTGGAGAGGAGGAGGTGGGACTAGAGGTGCCCATCTGGAGTGATGCGGGACCAGGTGGTACCGATGACTTCAGCTAGTTTTCTGACACTGCAGAGGGAAAGGAACTGGGGGAAGGGCACAGCGGCCTGGAGCTAGAAGGGCAGGGCGGAGTGGGGCTGCGCATGGGTAGGAGGCTCGGGAAGCAGAGACGGAGCTGAGATTAAGCGGGCGGAGGCGCCTAGAGGAAAGGGAAAGAAGGAACAGCCCACGCTCATGGCGCGTTCAGCGCAGACAAAGGCAGGCCGGGGGCACGCAGTAGCTGCGGGAACCACCCATTCGAGTTCCCGCTTCAAGAGCGGCGACAACCAGGAGGCCGCCGTGCGGACCGTAATGTTCCACGCTTTGGGCAGCCAGGGGTGGGAGTGGGTACAAGACCTGGGGCGCCAGGGGCTGGCCGGTGTGTATGTACAGGGCTGAAGCTGGGAGCCGGCGGGCTGCTTGTGGGGCCCTCCTCGCCGCAAAGCAACCGCGCTCTGGCTCCTCTTCAGAGCCCTGGGAGTCTGCCTATGGGCCTATCAGGCCCTTTCGGAGCTGAGGTCCTCGGTCCCTCGGGGATGCGGATGGAGAAGCTCCCGTGCAGACTGAGGCCGAGTCCGGCCTTCGCGCGCCCCCTGCTGGCCGGACTAGAGTAACCTCGGCTGGGAGGCGGCGGCGGCAGCGGCAGCCCGGGCTCAGATCCGGGAAAACCCTACCGGGGAAACCTCGAGGCGTGACGTCATCCCCTCGATGACGTCACCTGGCCCCCACGGAGTGCGGGGGTTCCACGGAGTGCGGGGGTTTCGCAGAGGAGGCTTCCCCAGGATTGCACAGGGCACCCGCTCAGGCAGGGAAGTCGCCGGGGGCTGCTTCGCTCCTTCACCGCGTCCTGTGTCTGTCCCACAGGTCCCGCGCGGCCCCGGGTGAGGCCCGCCAGCGCGCCTGCCGGCGCCATGGGAAAGAACGGGAGCTGCTTCTGCTGCCCCCCGCCGGCGCGCGCACGACTTGAGCCCCGCTGCGGGCAGCCCCTGGCCGCAGGGCCCCGAGTGACACTGGCGGCGCCTGGGAGCGTGGCGCGGGCCCGGGGCC